GTTTTAGAGACAAAGAAAGAAATATCACAGAATCAGAATCAGAATCAGAAATACTTTAATAATCCCCGTGGGGAAATTACTTGAAAGGTGGGTACAAGAAACAGGAAAAAACAAGAGGAGAGGGGAGGGCAAAAAAAGCCGCTCCCCTTTCTACCACTGAGTAAACCCCAGATGACCCCTGACCCCTGAGTTGAAATCAGCTCGTCCTCAAACATACATTATACTGTAATGGACCATTACCATTATGACTACTTTAGGTACATTTCGATGCTAATACTAAGTCCTGCTTTCTGGCTGCCATGAGCCACTCTGGTATCAAAGCACATCGTAGTAAACTAGACCACTATTAAAATATCATATCAATATTAGGTCTGTACAGGAATACTGTGCTACAAAATGGCTGAAATTAATGAAAAGATGATGCTGTGTGGCAGAAAATGTTCTGTTTCATCAATAGTGAGTATAGTTCTGTGACAGACTGTGACTGATTTACACCACGCTGGGGGCAGCAGGTGTAACTGTTGTTACAGAGTATTTCTATCGGTACGTCTGTGACACCTAAAAAACGTCAAACATTTAATTAGTCTTTGCAGAGGAACAGAAGTGTTTTTTCACTGAGTGGCTCAACTGACCGACAATTCTAAATCTTAAAATTTTCCTAAAACAGTCATTGAAAGGTCCTTGGATCTGATGTTTGAGTGTAAGAGAGCCCGACATTAAAGAAGAGAAAACACATGAAGGTCTTAAACACAGAAACCTAGGAAACAACTACCAGAACCGGTGTTACTCAGTGTTTAGAGGACAACGTGGGAACCAGAGGAATCAGACGAGTTCATTATGTTTTATGTGCTCTGGCATTTGCTAATGAGTCTGGTGAAGCCGGGCTAATGAGAGGCAGGTTATTAACAGGTGCTGCTGATTGCAGAGTTTGGAGTCATTCTGCTGTGATCCCTCTACCTGTGGGACGACTTTCAGGTTCAATTTTCACAGGAAGACGTGTTCCATGAGCCGAGCTCCCTCCAGGTCCGGGGACAAGACTCTGGTCCCGCTCTGGTTGAGCAGGACAGTAAGTACAGCCAGGCTCAGGTCAGCCCGGTTCAGCTCAGAGCACCGGGACGCCACGTTAGCCCAGACATCCACGGTAGAGCGGTTGTCCTCCAGGATCATCTCCTCCAAAAGCCCTGAAAGGACCGAGACACACAGCGAGATCAGAGGTCACACACTGCAACTCTGCACCGCACTGCCTCATCAGCATAAACACCACCTGACTAACTGCGTGTGAGCTGTGTTTGCGTTACCTCGTCCTCTGCTGACAAAGCTATCCAGGAGCTGCAGAGCTAGCTTCTGCTGCTGAGGGTCTGCCAGCAGAGTGGAACAGGCCCCGCCCACTGACAAGATGGCTACCTGGCCCCGCTGAGGCTCCGTCAACAGCTGGAGGAGGGAGAGGCTGGGCGAGTGACACAGAATCCACATACAGTCCTCTGAGAGAGAGAGAGAGATTCATACACTGATTATTGTGTGAGTTGTGTAAGAAAACTCTCTGTACTTGTGAGGACCCTCTTTGACACAATTCCCCAACTGTAACCTAAACTGGATTCTAACCTGAGCCTTAATGCCACGTCTGAACCTTCAAACAGTCCCTTAAAGTAGTAAGGAACAGCCAAAATGTCCTCACAAGCAATACTCTCTCTCACTCACTCACTCACTCACTCACTCACGTTCACTCACTCACTCACTCACACAACACACACACACCACACACACACACAGACACAGACCAAATGTGAGGTCCTTGCAGCGGTTCATGAACTCGCTGGCGCTGTGGACCAGGCCTCTCCTGCACATGCTCAGTGCGGTCTTCCTGTCCAGCCCGCAGGCCTCATAAATGATGGTGGCCAACGTCAGACACATGTTCGCCACAGCTGGGTTCTTCTGAGCGTGCTCAGACAGGATGTCGGCCAGCTCCTCAGAGAAGGTCAGCCTGTGGGAATAAAGGCTGTAAAGATCTGAACTCAGAGACGATAAAAACAGTTTCAGTCTGATTGTTTGTTGTTTACTTGTTGTTGGTGACAGCGTGGGTGACGAGCTGTGTGTCGCCGTGCTGCAGGACGCAGAGGACAAGCTGCAGGGAGAGATCAGCTGACAGCCCTTCGCCGGCCAGGGCGGTCATCAGCTGGGCCTGGAAGAAGAGCAGGAGAGGGGGGACAGACCCCGGGGGGCCCTTCACACCTGAGAGAGACAAACTTAGTCTCGTTAAGCTCTTAGAGGTCTGGAGAGAATCTGACTTATTGGCAGTAGTGTCTCCACACTTCGTCAGTGCTGAAACAATCCAACCCCGACTCAGGTCCGTTTATAGTGTGTCTGTGAAAGTGTTTTTACATATACATACAGATTGTTTCTTTAAGGCTCGTGTTATGATGCCACAGAGGAAATAAATTCAGTGAAAACGAGTCCAAAGTATCTCCAGACTTCTTTACTGCTGACAAAAAGACAGAAGCTCAGAAAGACTAAAAGAGAGAAAATCGTAGACGAGCTATGCAAATGTAGGATTTACATTCTTCTTTAAAGCTGCAATAAGTAATTATTATAAAGCTATTTTTGTCATATTTACTGGAACTTTCACTATATCCTG